TTGGCTGATCAGGAACTTGCTTTGCATACTAGGCTAGTTTCAAACTCACAGAAATCCGTCTGCCTCTGCCATCTGAGTGCTAAGATTTTCATGGAGGGCAACACCATACCCAGGACAGGGGTCCTCCTTTTTACCAGCCCATCTGAATTTTCCTCTTGGACTTCCCAACTATGAACAGCAGTCGTGGACAGTCTACAGGACTAACATAAAGAGCATGTTTCAAATCTAATATTCACCTGCAACCAATCATACCAAATTTCTCTGGCCTTAAAATAAATTTCTCGACTCCTTCCCAAAAGAATGTTTTTGCCAACTGTTCAAATCCTCCCTTTGTTCTTAACAATTTTTGTTCATACGTTCAGTTATCTGCAGGTCAGCCACTAAACCTACCACAGGAAAATGAACATAACTGGAGGTGATTTTTAAATAATTGTGAATTTGCATCTCTATCTCCAACAAATTGATTCACTGGGAATAAACCCATGTCTGTGCTTTAACACCTGTGCCCTTGGAGAAGTCCAATGCACATTTGCTGAGCTGTTTGGTCTTTTGATTTCTTTGTCCTACAAACTGGTTTGGCCTCAGCCTCCTCCTTCTTCCTCAGCCTACGAGTGCTAGAATTACACCTGTGAGCCACCACTCCCAGGATTCTTTGTGTCCTTTGATCCATCTCCTCCTTGGCAGAGACCAAGCTATTGTTTTCTGTCACTTCCTTAATATAGCACACTGTAAACAGAGTTTCTTAGGTTACACTGTTGACTTTGTGATTGTGAGTCCAGTCCACAAGATTTCTAACCTCTGAGTGTGAGCCAGGAGACTTAAATGGCAGAAAATACAGATAGCCACAGCTGTGACTCAATCTGAGAGGAAAATGACTCAAGTCATTTCTCAATTCATTGTAGCTTGTCTTCCACATACTCAACTGCTAATCTATTGAGCTATGGAAGAGCACAACTTTTAAAAGCAAACTACAAGTCCAAGGCATTTATTTTCTTTAGAAATTAATATATTAATAAAGAAAAATTCAAGAAAAGAAAAAACTTGTATGAATAACATAGTTGTAAAACTATTAGTTCTTTGAGTGTAGAACAAGATTTGTTCAGTCCATTTAAACATTTGTTTCTAAATATCTAAAAATGATTTGATAGAAGTTACCAAGCATAAAAATTCAAAACTAAACTAGACATATCATATCAAATGAAAAATAGCCTCTGTAAAGCAACAGTAAATGGTATATAAAACTATGGCAGATTTCTCTTTGAGTAGGTGTAACCCCATTCTTCTCTAGCCCAGCTGACTGCTAAGTGCCCTTGCCTTTTGTTTAGACAGGTCAATGTCTGGAAAAGGATTCTTTTGTCTCCCTGGTTTATTGTGCAACCAAATGTAAAACTGTAACTGTAATTGATATGGAGAACTGGATACTTTTTCCTTGATTTATAGAAATCAAGAACATAAAATGAATCAACCTAGACATTTATAGTGTTTGCCTCATACTGCAGTTGATATTGCCTTTTTGAACTCTTCAGCAGAACTATCTAGTGAACTGACAGCTTTCTACACATGATGTTTGAAGCATAACTCATTTGTTTACTCTTTCAACATACTTTCCCCACATCAATTGAGTAAATTTGCGACTCTGTTCACAAATGGGCTGTGTAGCAAAACTATTTGTTATAAATGATTTCTTCCCAAATCTCTAAAATGATTTATCCATACAGAAATGAGTGGAAAAATTTAAACTCTGCCTCATTGTCCAGTTAAATTATTTTTGATCCAAAATAAATGGGAAGTGGGATGGCAAACAATTGAACCACAGCACAAAAAGAATATAAATTTTAAAATATAGTAAAAGGCACTTAACACAAATAAAACCACTAAAACTAAAACCAGAGCTACTACCTGACCAAGCTGCTCCACTCCTGTACACACATCTAAAGGATCCTAAGTCAGCACATCTATGTGTACTACAGCACAGTCCACACTAGCCAAGCTATGGACCAGCCTAGGTATCCATCAATGGATGACTAGAAAATGAAAATGTGGAACCTACATAAAATGGAATTTTGTCCATCTGTAAAGAAGAGTAACATTATAACATTGGAAGGAAAATAGACACAACAAGAGATTATCATGTCAAGTGAAATAAGCCAGACTCAGAAAGACAAATACATATTTTCTCTCATTTATAGAACCTTCATTGAAAGTGTGCATGCACACATTTGTACACTTGTGTGTATGTGCCTGTGTGTGCCTTGCCTGTGTGTGTGTGTGTATGTGTGTGTGTGTGTGTGTGTGTGTGTGTGTGTGTGTGTGTATTGACCATCAGGGTAAATTATGAAAGAGGAGAAAGAGGTCTAAAGGGATGAAGAGGTAGGAACAAGACAGGGTAATGGAGCATGTGTCATGAAAGCAGAAATGAGGCCAATGTTAAGGAGTAAGGGAGAAGAGGAGAGGCATCCAGAAGATTGAGAGGCAATAAGAACAAAGTATAACTATATGTGTATGAAAAATCAAAGTGAAACCCATCTCTCTATATGTTTACCAAAAAATTAATTTTAATTTTAAAAGTGTAGTAAAAGTAACAACATTCTAGTTACTAGGATTATTTGTTAAGGTGTGTTCTTGGATTTGGTGGAATGTCACTATTTCTCATATGTTTCAGGACATTTCAAAACTGCTTTGCAAATAAATTATAGTGGGGAACTTTTGTATTTTAAAAAATAAGTGTAAATATTTCATTTTTCTCTGTTAATTTATGAACAGAACTGGCAATCAAGATAGATAAAATGTTTACAGGATATTTGCAAAAAACAACTTAATTAACATTAATGTTAAGAATAAAATGTGTTTATAAATGTAAATATTTTCATTTTCTTGACTTTTAGACATTGCAATGCCTATAGCAGAAGATCTTCTCAACACATGTAAGTTTATCGATGAAGTTATTTTCCATCAAAAATCCGTCCTTAGAATGCCAAGAAGACCTGCAGTTGAGGTGTAATAAGCTTGCCTGCCTTCCAGAAATGTGTGTGAATGTTACTGTCGATGCTCTTAAACTGGCTGATATCATGGATTTAAAATGAGGAGCATCATCACATGCCATAATGGCAGGGAGGATAGGGAGGATGTAGGGACAAGCAGTGGTAATTAAGAACTTAGAATCTAAAATCAGCTACATGTGCATTTGGAGTTTCAGATCTGCCAAATTCTAGAGGGAAGAATTGGCATAAGTTCCTTAACTTTCCAAAGCCTTAGTTTCAAATTAGTGTGAAGATGAAATAAGGTAATAGAAATAAATTACTTACCAGAGTACATGTGCTGACAGCTGGTACTCAGTATATGCCAGCTCTTTGTGTTTTCTGTTTCGCCTATAAGAATCCCAGGGCTAGGAAAACTCTCTCTGGAATTCTGACCCTAGCAACTAAATTTGTGTGCAGAAAGCTGTATGCTTTCTATGCAAACCACTTCTTCCTTGCTGGGCAAGGCGTTGTTTTCACCCCCACCCCCACCCCACTACTTGTCTTAGGAAACATGATCCTCAAAGTGGCTGAAACTCAGAGCAAGCTGTCAGGGAAAGCACTGCATTTATCTGGGAACTGAGACTGATTGTGGGAGCCAGATTAGAGCATTCACCCTCTAGAGCTAGGTGACACTGACCCAGGCTACTCTTACTACCCCTTAGTCACTGCTTAGTTATTGAGGAGGGACTTGGGACAAAATTTAAACAAAAGGCTATTTGGGTTTTCTTTTTCATAGACTTTGATTAAACAACCCACAGGTAACTTAATAAAACATCTTGAAACAAATGATTCCCATGAAATCCTCAGTATCTGTAAATTGAAAATCCACAGTTTCAATTTGGAAGGTTGTCAGGTTCATAGAAGTCTTTCCAGGTCTGTCAGCAATGGTATTAAAGATGTCATGCAGTCTATCTACTCCCCAACTGGAACACTTAAAACCCTTTCATATCAGAATTCAGAATTTGACTTGATCTATCTAGGGTTCTGATCACATTTGTAATAAAAAGCAAAAGGTGTGCAGAAAAACAAAATAAATTTAAAGAATGGAGCATTAATGTGTGACACAATAAAGTATATGAAGTAAAAGGGTAGGATGGCATGTAGGTTCCATGATGTTTCTGAAAGTATCAGCCAGCAATCCTCACTGTATTTTTAAATCCTTGAAATTTACCATCTGCTCCCTTTTGATAAAATAAACCTCCAAGGTTCCATGTAGGACTTGTGCAGAGGTAATAACAAGGTAAGGCTGCAGAGGTGGTGACTGAAAGCTTAGCAAACACAACAATCCTGAGTAAATGGGAGCTTTGGATTGAGTTGACAAATGGATAGAAATTAAGAATCACAAGTAAGGTCAGAAACAGTGAAGTCAAGCCTCCTAGGGAGGTGCCTATCCCACAGAGAAGGACTTTTGTTTTTATATCTCTCTGAAGGAAGCTGAGTAAAAGCCAGCTTCCTTTAGGAGTAGCCCAAACAGAAAGGAGGGTAGGGAGGAACCATCATTCCCTGGGTTCTGGATTAGTTGCTTTATCCTCTGTAGAGTCAATGATGTGGGAGTAGAAAGAAAAAGAGAAGGGAGTGACATTCTATGAGTCAATGTGAGCGTACTCATTAGACATGGCAGGCATAGCTAAGTAACTCAAGGAAGATGCTTTAACCTGAGTTTAGAGATGTGTTAAAAGCAGTGTGCAAACCAAAAGGTTTCAGAAGGTCAGTTAGGACCTTGAAAAGTATACGTGACTCTCCTATGCTACTCATGCCTTCCTACCTTCAGGAAAGAAGATCTCAAAGTATATCTAGCCACTATAATCATACATCAATTGTGAAACAACTGACAAGCTAAATTTTCTAATTCATTTAAATGTTTAAATGTTCTATTTTTTTATTTTTTTTTTCCGAGACAGAGTTTCTCTATGTCACAGCTCTGGCTGTCCTGGAACTCATTTTGTAGATCAGGCTGGCCTCAAATTCACAAAGATCCACCTGCCTCTGCCTCCAACATGCTAGTATTAAAGGCGTGCATCCCCACCTCCTAGCTAAACATTCTTACTCTTGATATAAGTCAACTCTGTTGTCTAGTGTGTCTTACTCTTAATACTATTGACACTGAGGCCAGCTAATGCTTTGTTTATTTGGCTCTCCAGTTTATCATAAGGTAGTTAGCAATATCTCTGGCCTTTGTCCACTGAATATCTGTAGACACTCCCCCAAGTCCCTACCCATTTGTAATAATACAAAGTGTCTCCAACATTGCCAGATACTAGCTACTGCCTTAATCCATGCCTTGAATTAATTACAATTTTTTCACTCTCCAAATGAAGTAATAAACACGTATTTTTATTTCAAGTTTTACAGGCTTTATTTCTACAAATATTCATTGAGTTCCTTTTATATAATAGGTTCTCTATAGTAGATTCTAAATACATATTTTTATTAAAAAGCATAATTCCTAACCTTTAAAGTATTTACAGATGAGATGTTGATCTCTAGTAAAAGAAGACAAATTAAAGAACACATTCAACACTTTATTGGTGTAAAGTTACAATAGTCAAGAGAACCAGGATCAGTCTGATGAATGGCGAACTGTACCATTACTACAAATTTGCTTTCAAGACATCAGAGTCTATCTGTTTCTATGTTTCTAAGCTGACAATAATGTACAAACCTACCTCACAGAAGCATGTGATTTTGAAAGTTCTGGCCATCGTCACATCATTTCTTTTGTCTAACTACTGTGTATCAGGACTTCTGTTTACCCTGTCTCATAACATTCATAGTCACTCACACTTTCATAGGAATATTTTTTATGGCATGTATTGCTTTCTAGCCTTCACTAAAGTTTAAAACCACGTATTTCCTTGTGCAATGTAGTAAGATTAGTCTCTTTGAAAACCAAACCTATAAATCTACCTACGTCATACATCAAGCCGTAGTAAGACAAGACAGACACAGAGTACATGTGAGTGATAGGCACAGGAGGAGGAGATGTCAATGTATTCTCAGGGAATAATATCAGCAGTAAATCCATCTGAATTTCTCCAAGACAGTGAGATTTTGCTGAGTTACTAGTTAATAGGGACATATGTTATAGGTAGTTTATTTACTATATATAGCAAGACACATGCATAAGCATTATCAACACTGATGAACTCTCCTTTGAACAGGCTGTGGACGACGCACAATTACTCCCTTGGGCCACAAAGTAGCAGGAGGCCAGGATGCTGAGGAAGGGGAATGGCCCTGGCAAGCAAGCCTTCAACAGAATAGTGTCCACCGATGTGGAGCCACTCTGATTAGCAACAACTGGCTTATCACTGCCGCTCACTGTTTCATAAGGTAAGATATGACCTGTGAACTAAAGTACTAAAAGTCTAATAATATCTCCCTATCAGTGTGATCATGCAACTATGCCTCCAACTGCTTAGTAGTCCAGTGAGGCACAGCCTCAAAACTGCTCACTGATTAATCAGTAAAATAGTAAAAATAGTAGTCCTCCTAAAGAATTTTGTCAAAAGTAGAAATATTGACATTTTGGACTAGATATAATTGTTCATTGTGGAGAGCTGGCCTGTACATTGTAGAACACCGGGCAGCGCTCCTTCCCTTAACCACCAGTAACACGTCAATACTAACAACAATAGTGTCTGCAAAACATTGGCAAAGGTGAGTTGGCCACAGGGTCTCAATTGCAGAGTGGCCTCAAACTGGCGGTGTCGCTTGAACTGACCACAAACTTTGCAGCCCTCCTGCCTCTGCTTACTAAGGGTTGTGATTACACGTGCAGACTACCACACCCAGAGGAGATAATGACTGCTTTAACGAGTGTATGATTGCACCGAGAGATTGCCACCTCTCTATCCTCCCTTCTCTCCTCAGCACTAGGGACTGAACTCAGGGTCTCATGCATGCCAGGCCAGCACTTTACCATTGAGATGGAGAAAAATGAAATTTCATCTCTCACTTGGTCAACTCTGTGCAAAACCATCCTGGCTTATGATAACACTTTAGTAGAGAACTTGAAAATGTTCCAACGGGACTACTTTTCAGATGACAGTATACAAAATACCAAATAGCAACTAAAGGTGGAAGACAAAAGTATGTTATTTGTTGTGTAAAATGATGAAAAGACTTAAATGATGTAATTTCCATAAATTCTTTGTGTTCACATCCCCATCTACTTTTTATTAAATCTTGTCATTTTATGCTGTCATATTTACCTTTCTAAATCCCCTTCATTATTTTCTATTCAAGCCAAGAAATAAAATGCACTTTCTATAAATTGTCTTTTCTCTTTAATTACTTTTAAGTTAAGGTCTCACTACGCATAGCTCAGAATGACCTCAAATTTACTATGTAGCCCAGAGTGGCCTCAAGTTCACCATTCTCTTGCCTCTATCCCTCAAGTGCTAGGCTCACATGCCCAGCTATTGATTATCTTTTAAAGCATATTTTATAAAGTTGCCAAAATGTGTACAAATAATATTGTTTTTAGTTCTTCTCTTATATACAGTTTTTCTGGGAATGGGGGAAAAACTTGCCATAGTGGTGTATACCTTTAATCTCAGCATAAACTCAGGAGGTAGAGGTAGACAGATCCCTGTGAGTTCAAGGACAGCCTCAAATTTGCTTCTACATTGTAAGTTCTAGCCAGCCAGAGATGCACAATAAAACCTTGTATCAAAAAAAAAGTACTATGGAAATGCAAATGACCTAATTAATTTTCAAAGATGATGTGACTAATTCCTATAGCTCTAATATATAGAGGTTTTAATAAATAAATCTATTTCCTTTAGGGATGCAAATCCAAAAGACTGGAAAGTTAGTTTTGGGCTTCTTTTAAATAAGCCACAAGCACAACGAACTGTCAAGAATATTATAATCCACGAGAACTACAGTTACCCAGCCCACGATAATGACATAGCTCTTGTGCGTCTGTCTTCGCCAGTGTTATTTGCAAGCAATATCCGAAGGGCATGTTTACCAGAAGGGACTCACAAGTTCCCACCCAACTCAGACGTGGTGGTCACTGGATGGGGAACATTAAAGTCTGATGGTAAGGTCCTCACATCTCTCCACCTCAGGACTCCAGCTTCAGTGTAAAAAAAAAAAAAAGAAATACATTCAGAGTTACATCTCAGTGTGAAGAACATTCTCCAGATCATGGAGAAAAGTGGAATGTGCAATGTGCTGAAACCTGAGCTCAGTATCATTCATTTAGAAACTATAATCCCGTATAGTTGTTTGCCACAATGCCCTCATAATGTCAGTTTTCATACGTTTCTTTTGATCTGGATGCCTAATTTCCTACGTGTCATTCATCACTCAATAAGTATTTATCCTTCATCAAGAAGGTAATATTTGAACAAAATTATCATAGGCATTCTATGACCTTAATCCTGTAGAGTTAGTGTCAAAATACATTTTTAAAGCAGGAAAATAAAACTAAATGATTTTAAAATCTAGAACCACAGTAGTAAGCTTAGATAAAAATTTATAAATGATTATAAAATGAATGCTTCTGACATGTAAATTTTTAAGTTTATTTTCTAAAACATACATAGAAAATGTAAAACTCTAAACATTTTAAAAGAAAAAAATCCTATTACATATGATATGCAAACTAACTCTAAACAAGATTGTTTTCAGCAATAGTTTGGTATGTGGCGTGTTCATAAATATTGCTTTAACTAAAGTGTGTTTTATATTGCCTGAAAAGCAATATAATTTTAAAATTAAATACTAATTCATAGAAACTAATATTGAGTCTAAAAACATATTACAATTTGGAGGGCTGGCCACATGACTGATCAGGTTATGCACTTACCTTCAAGCATAAGAACGTGAGATTATACACAGAACCCAAAGGGGGAAAGAGAAAACACCTCACGGGTGACCTCTGACCTCCATACTCATGCAGAAGTACGCATGTGCACACACATATGTTCTCACACAGTAAACAGATATACAAATGTAAAAAAAAATACAATTTTTAAATTCCCTTTTAAAAATTATATGATATTGTTTCTTCAGGAGAAAGTCCTAACATACTCCAGAAAGGAAGAGTGAAGATTATAGATAACAAGACCTGCAACAGTGGAAAGGCATATGGCGGTGTGATCAAACCTGGAATGCTGTGTGCTGGCTTCCTGGAGGGCCGTGTTGATGCTTGCCAGGTAACTCTTCCCAGTCTCTCTCTCTCTCTCTCTCTCTCTCTCTCTCTCTCTCTCTCTCTCTCTTCCTCCCTCCCTCTGCCTCTTTCATTTCTGATAGTTTTATATTTCCAATGAAAAGTGCAATTTTCTCAATCTTAAAAGTATAAGTGTGTGTTATTGGCAAATCATCTAACTAATATGTATATTGATCTCTGTAAAATAGTATGATTCTAAGTCAGCAGTTTTGTTACAAGAAGCGATGTGTGGAAGTGAGGAAGAGACTCGGGATGAGCAGTGAATCGATGAAACACATCACTGATAACTATAGTTTGACTGGTCTACCTCCAGAAACCTTCAGCTTAATCTAATACTAATTGGTTATGGAGCTTTCACTCCCTGGCTCCAACATCCTAATTATTTAATTTACTTAACAACTTCTGAGTGGAATCCCACACGCGGCACAGTTTTAAGATCATTGAGAATATTTGTTTACTCTAGTTATGGTAATCTTCTGCAGCATATTTTAGTTTGAAACCCATTTCTGATGAGGAGCTTGGACAAAGAGACAAGACAGTGCATTTAATTGAACTGACAGAGCAGGGGCTTAAACGGAGGAACTTTGATCTTGTGTCCATTCTTTGAACTCTAAACCCAGTTACTTTTCCTTATTAATGTGCCTCTAATCCCCCTATGCTGTTAATACGTAATAGTCCTGGAGCTAACAAAATACACAAGGGAAGTAGTCCAGGCAGACACAACTACCGATAAACCCAGGAAGAATCTCACTTGATTCAATTGCTGTGTAGAACTTAGTTATTGTACTATGCTTTAGAGATATTGAAA